AACTAAAAAAAGAAGGCCGAGGCGCATTTAGAGAGAAAGTTGCTACAATAGATGGCACCAAAGTGTCTGTCGTGTCATGGTATGATAACAAAGTTATGAATTTGATGTCTACTTATGCTGGCAGCCTACTAACAGTAAAGGTCAAAAGATTTTCTAAAAAAGAGAAGACTCATATAATGGTGCAATGTCCAAGAGTTGTAACTATTTACAATAAGTATATGGGTGAGGTCGACTTACTTGACTCAATGCTGGGTGCTATTACCGAATAAAGCTGCGATCAAAGAAATGGTACTTACGTATATTCTGTCATATAATTGACTTGATGGTCGTTAATGCTTGGATTCTTTGGAGAAGAGGTAATGAAGAAAACGATTTTCCTTTAGCATATTTCAAAATGACAATTGCAGAGTGCTTGTGTAAAGCTGGTAAAGTTTCAGCAACAGTGAGCAAAAAACGTGGTCGGCCAAGTGTACCACTGGAAACCCATGTTCAAACTAAAATAAAACGATGACCTTCGTCCGATTTTCCAATTCAGGAAATTATAGCCGATGGATACCATCAATTACTTCTGTGGTACCAAGAAAGGCAAAGATGTAAATACCCCTGTAGTGGAAAGAGTTTCATTAAGTGCTCCAAATGTAATGTGCACCTTTGTTTAAACAAAGATAGAAATTGCTTTTATAAGTTTCACACAGAATGATTTTAGTTACATTTCATGAGTTTAGTTTAAAAACTACATTTTTTAATGTAGTCTTTATTACATACTGTGCCAATTATGGCACAAAAAAAATTGGAGTGTCTTTGGGAGGAAATACTTGAACACACATGATTTTCTAGGCCTTTGATTGGTCCAGTGTATTTTTTTATTGAAAACAAAAAATCATGCGTTAAGGGATTAAGTGGCTGATATGAGATCCTGTATATCATGTGGTACCTGGGTGCATGAGGAATGTGTTGGTCTCTCAAAAGATGACACAGATGACTTTATCTAACCAGAATGTTGGACCTTATTACCTGCCTTATTATTTACTCTTGGCCTTATAACCTGCCCGTGCTGGTAATAAGGCCAACTTTAACTTTTTCCTTTTTATTCCTGTTGAGGGTGAACGTTTATTTTGAAGGTCCTATATTATAGAATATGTTTAGCTACCTATTCGTATAAGCCAAAGTTTAGACATGCTCATAGTTCAGTACCTTATTTCAAGAAGCTCGGCGATTGTTATATGTAAAAACTTGCGAATTCCATATTCAGTTCAACGTGTCGAGACTTGCAAAGCGCCGCCGCCTTCCGCACCGCTCGTTGTGCAAAGGGAACGAAATAAAACTTGTGTGTGTGTGTTTGCGATCTTGCATGAACTTGTTTGAATCCTCATCAATGTAAATATTGAATACGAACGCCCAGAAGTGGAGAAAATGATCTTACAAGAGGAGCTACTCTAATACTTAGCACTAATTAAGAGCTGAAGGTGAAATTCAAAAGAGTGTATCCAACATTTTGGCAACAGGCAGAAATACCCGAAAAATATCCCGAACTGTGGGGAATTGCAAGAAAGCTTTTGATAGCATTTCCCTCCCAACAATTAATTAATCGACCGATCACTTATCACTTTTTATTCGAAAACTGTTAATTCGTGGTTGTAACGCAATTGCAAAGCAAATTTCCATAGTTAGATCTAATCTTCACATTTTATGTTGAGTCTTGGGAATATGCTAGGAATGTAGATGCAGGGGGTCCACCGGAACCATCAAATTTAGAAAGTGGTCTATAATAAAAAAAAGTTTGGGAACCTCTGATTTAGTAGATTGTGAGCTAGCGCGAGAACCACAATGAACAGAGCTCTCGCACACCCAAATATTCATGCAGGATATGTCCAACACGTTCCTTTGATATCTTCAGAGCCTCGGCTATCTTGATCAACTTCACTTGGCGGTCATCCAAAATTATTTTGTGGACTTTCTCGATGTTTTCGTTGGTAACAGCCTCTCTGGGGCCTCGCTTTATTAAGACATGGAATTCCTTTTCATCCGGTTTCTTCAAACTAACAAAGTTTGCTTCACTCAAAACGTTATATCTTACAAAATAATAGTCCGACAGCTGTGAAATGTGTACACGTGTCTTTTAGAGGTTAGGGTTAACTGAAAATCATATGGATTCAGTACTAGTAGCGGCATCTATGTGTAATATCACGAACTTTTGAGCCCACCTATTATAATTAATGATAGAAATAATCACTCTTCAATTTAATTTTGATGTACACCTCAAGTGGCCCATTACCTGTCTTTACAAATGGACACAGATTCATATCAAAGTTTAACACTATCAAACTGAAAAATGAGTCATTGCAAAACTCTTTTGGTTTTTTTCTCAAGCTCACTAGCAAAATATTCAATAATCTGTAATATTTCAATTCAAAATTAGGTTACTCACTATTCCCAACGAAAAGGTTTCGGTTTGTAATCCAGAAAAGTTGACAACAAGCAAAAGTATTTCACTTTTTCACCAACATCAGACAGTATTGAATTTGGGATAAAAACTAGTTTTTCCTTTCCGTTGGTAGTTTATTTGAGAATATACCTATCTCCTAACTGTGTCCTTTTAATTCTATTCTCTTTAATAGTGTAGCCACGATTTTATACTTTTCTGAACTTTCTCTCACACTTCTATGTTCATGTATTCCAATGAGACCCTCTATACACTGAGGTCGTATACACTTGGTACTAACAGTTGAATGTTCTCAAGTTTAATGCTTTTGTTGTAATAGCTATTGCAATATCTACTTTGCCCATAAGATTTGAAATTTTTTAATGACAATAAAGTATATGTGATGATGATCACAGCTGGATACCGTTAACAAAATAATTAACTTCGTTAAAGGAGTTAATGCCCAGCTATGATAATGATGATGTTGGTTGAAAACTCCGTGGTTTAAATTTGCATACACTTTCATGAAAATTATGCAAAAATCTCTTTTATCTTTCAGCGACGTCAAACCAATCAGTTCTCTTGCTGGTTTGAACAGTTTTTTCTCAAATATTCTGAATAGTAGTTCCATTCTATGTTTCCTGTAACCTCTCATATACTTTTACTCACTTTGTTCTTCTATTTGGTATGGATACCTCATCTCATATGTTGTTTTCCTATTTCTCCGCTGTTACGGGGGAAAATAGTGAAAAGAAAAAGAAATTGTGAAGGCAATCGGTAATTTCCATTAATGGCACTTACAGAAAATTAAAACCGCATTTTTCATCATTTTGGTTTGTACTTATATGACTTATTTACGATAAATCTAAATCACTAGGTATATTGAATATGGTCACCTGCTTCGTTTTTCATTTTTGATTGAAGTTACGTTATTTGAACATAGATCTAGGTGAATTACACTTGCTTATATTCATAACGTCATGGATTGTTACTCACCACAGTCTTACAGGGAATGTTTCGTATTATTGATATTTGAATATGATGTTCAAGCCCGTTGAACAGGTGCTATATATACAAGCTGCAATAAAATGCTGAGATATTTTGTATCTTGAACTATTACATGAGTATTATTTTAATTATCTAGTTGGAATTATTTTCTTCTATAATAAAACTCATTATTATAATGAAAGGAGGGGGCAGTGAACATACTGAGTAACATAAAGGTGCACTAGTAATAAATAGAGAATCTGTACAATTATCAGTTATCATCAAACTGACGTTTCTTCGTTCTGCTCATCAATCCTGTGAAAAAAAATACATTACATTCCATTTATTTCTGATATTTCCCCTCACCTTTTTCCATATCGGTTAATTATGTTTAGTTGTATAGTCCCAACACCATCTACAGAAAATATCTAAGTTAGTAAGGTCAAAACAAAAAACAAAAAAAAAACTGAAAAGTACTGAAAGTAATGGTTTTCTGGGTGTTCCTTACTGTCAAATCTCTTCATCTCTGTTCATTTCTGGAACTTTCGTAGTTTTAAAATGAAATAACAAATGTGAACTCCAGAAACGTTTTTCAAACTATTGCAGTATCCAGCACAAAGAGCGATCGAATGGAAAACTTTTACAAAGGTGACAATCATATACAGGGTGTTCATTAAACATAAGGCAAAAACTTTAGGGACTATTCCTTCGACTATTTTAGGGATATTTTGCCCTTTGACGATTTTTACACGCTTTATATTAGCTTCTCCTGTATGTAGTCTAATCAACAAGTTCAAAAACAAGCTTTGACAACAAAACCTAAACTTTTATGACAATAAAGCATTTCTGACTCTGACATACAAACTTATCAGCTGTTATGGGCTTTTTCTTGGCTCAGAAGGAGTCTTTATATACTATGTAAGAGTTTTATCAGTTGTTGAAGGGTGAAACCGTATCAAAATTTTATAGTGCTCTACTGAAAGCCAGTATTTGAGGTAGGGTAGAGCACTGTTTAGCTCAGTGGAGACGGGTGGTTCGTATTTCCTAAGTAGTTCAATTAATGCAACCTTTTCTTTGGAGACAGAGAGAGAGAGAGAGAGAACGTCTATACTACGTGACTTTACAAAACTCACTTTCTAATATACTAATACCTAGCTCTGTACATACTAGGTGTTGAAACAAGTCTAATTTATTTATACAGTTGAACAAATTAGTTTGAAAAATAATGGTGGAACTCATACGATTCGTTAGCTTTCCTCCCTTTTGGGCTGCAACCTGGAAAGTTGAAACTGCACTCCTCTAACTTCCAGTAAGTAGTGGAACTGTCAGGCTTTCGAATTTCAGAAATTCCTTCATTACGTTATCCAACGGCATTAAACGAAAAACTCCTAGAGGATAGAGATAACACTATAACTCTAGAATACTCTCATCAACTATTTTATCCATACCTTTGATGAAAGGTGGCCTTAGAGTCTGATTTCAGCTTTGTATGCCCTTCAAAAGAGGTAATAACAACTAAGCTCACAACATTAGTTGTTAGAAAATGGAAAACGGTAATTCAATCCCCAACCGTGGGTAATAGTAATGAAAAATAATCCAGAGCTCGTATTTTCACTCTCATTAAATAAACACAGTGTGCTCTTGCCTGAACTCTTTTACTACTGATTTGAATTTTAAAATGTTGGAAAAGGTCTAGACTCCCGTTCACGAATCAAAATATTCAATATCATTGTTGAACTTCTTTGTCCCACTCATGAGAATATTTCACCTAATTTGGCAGCTAATTGTCGGTGATTGATGCGGAGCGACATTTAAAGTTGACGAGACATCGAGAAACGTACTTAGTTGCGAACTTTGCAGAACAATGACCTTGATATAATTTATCGAATATGCGAAACAGACAGACAACCACTCTATAGTAAAACCAATAATGATTGAGAGTAAAGCGCGTTGTCATATCTAAATTTTACGTTACCAGTNATAAGCACGCCCCCGATTTGCTGTCAACTGGGCTTACTTCTACTCTCAATCATTATTGGTTTTAGTATAAGAGAAATTATACTGTAACACAACTTCCTTAAGAAGCTGGGTTTATTTGGTTTATTTGGTCGAGTACGTGAATAGGTGTGAACCACAATAAACCCTTGCGGGTTGCGGTGGAGGGTCAAACAGACCCACTCACTTTTGAGCTAACCGTACCTGTTTGTACGCGGCTACCAGGTAATACAGAACAGAAAAAGGTAAACTATCGTCAACTGCATATTGCGTATGTTGTATACTTTCAAGTAGACTATGAATCGTTTGGCAACCAAGACAGTCAAATCTGAAAAAATGATTATTTTTTATAATTTTAACAATTCATAACCATGAATAATTTTCTACTACAAACGTAATTCATTTCTTGAAATATAATTTTCACCTGCTTATCAAATTAGCGAAGGTCGATCTTACTTGAGTTCTTAGACTATTAGGAAAGGTCCCAGTTATAATTAGAATCTGAATTTATAAAAGCCATACAAAACTGTTCAACTTCCTCGAGTTGTGGTTTTCACGAGCTCATTACACAAAATTAAATTTGTTCTTACCGGTTACATGACAAAATTTCACTCCGCTTATAAGTCGCAGAAAAGTAAAATTATCTCAACAGAATGTTGAAAGTGAATATCAATAAAGAAAATAACATTTGAAATAACTTTGATGTATATTTAATAAAACAAAATCACAATATATGTTTTAAGTACAAAAGTTTCAAAAAAATGGAATGTATAAGAATTGCACAGTCTAAAAAAATATATAAGTACAGTAAGTTCAAGGATATAAAATAGAAGACTTACCAATTATACTAAATATTGAGATCTTATAAAATATCCTTAGTAAATATTTTTTCTTGACAAGAATTTTGATTTTATACAAAATATAACAGTGGTATCATAAAAAGCTTATTAGGCACAGGAATTTCAAAACTCTCACACAAAAATATTTTACTTTAGGCAAAAAAAAATAAAATGACACACATAATACTTTTTCGAAAGTCTTTTTTCCTTAAAGGGTTAAATATTCCTAAGAAAAATCGACCACTCTCGATTTTGTTGTTTCACCAAAATGATAAAAAAAACAGCGTTTGGAATTAGAATGCTACAACTTCAAAGTATCACGGTAGCTTTGACCGATACCCAAAATTGGGTTCTTGTTAGTTATAAAAGATACAGAGTTCTGTTGAATCAAATAAGACTAAACTAAGAATCTAAAATATCGTTATTTTTTTTATCAACTCATCCGAACATTTCGGTGCTTCTACGTTTATTATTATTATATTTCACTCATTTTTTGTTTAAAATCGATTTGGTGCTGAGAGACTTTTCAAAGTTTTTCACAAAAATATTTTGGGTTTTATCATATCATCTAATTGGACATTAGTATCTGCAACTTTTTCATATTTTAACTGCCTCTGTATCATTTGTAGTTAATAAGATAACAATAGCGAGCATTTAAAAGAATATTTTTGAATCAATTATTTCAGTTAGTTCACGAAACAGAATTTCCAGAAAAACTTTTGTGAAAAAATTAGGTTCAGTTCAATTGTTATCCAAATATTTCAGAGGTCACAAAAATGCCTTCAGGAAACTACCACAGAATATGTCTCATTTAGGAAATTACTTTCTACTCGAATTTCTAAAGTTGTGGAATGTACTTATGCCAAAAAAATAGCACGTCAAAATGTGTTTATTGCTCAATTATTATATAACAGTTGGGCTTAAAATTTCATAGGCTAATTTCTTTTACAAAATTTGATTTCATCATTGCGATTTAATGATTTCTAGTTCGATTTGTCTCTGGTCTCAAAATAGGCCCCAGTTTCGATCAATACCTCTTCATCGGAGCCGACTTTCTTTCCAGCAAGCATTCTCTTGAGGTCTGAGAACAGGAAAAGTCGCCGGGGGCCTGATCTGGGGAATATGGTGGATGCGAAAGCAATTTCATGTCAAATTCATGCAATTTTGCCATCGTTTTCATTGATACGTGACACGACGCATTGTTTTTCAAACAGCACTTTCTTTTTTTTCAAACGGAGCAGTTTTTCCGCGAGTTCGTCCTTCAAACACTCCAATAACGCTATGTAGTAGTCGCTGTTGATAGGTTTTTACTTTGTGACTTTTAAAAGTGGTAAAAAACATAGTTCTCTTTTCTTCATAATGATGGAGCCATGTTTCATTTGGTCCAGTGATTCCCAAAGTGGTCCAGATGGATCCTCAGGGGTCCACGAGGGTCTACGTTGGCGTTACCACCAAATGGGGGTCCACAATTCATAAGCCGGGGTCTACGAAAGTTTCTCTGGTTTCGATAGTGAAGAACTAAAATCTTGGCTCCGCCTATCAATGTAGGCAGATAATAAAGTATCGTTGAAATAAACTAAGTTCCGACAAGTGAATGTTTGCATATCTAGGTTTCATACCCACCAATTGATTGTTGAACGTTAATTTTGTGTTAGCTGATTATCCGTTCCTCTACGTGTAGTAGATTCAGACGGATTTCTACCTGA